CTATCTGTTCTGTAAGCCTTCACCTGAAGTACAATAAAATATTAAAAAAAAATAAAAAATAAAAATTAAAAAAAAGAAAACCTCTATTTTATACACTCTAAAACAGCCAAATTTCATTTTTAAATTAAGTAATAATCATTTATTAAACATCCATATTATAATGTGCTATCAAAAAGTTTCATAATATAACCCAGAACTAAAAACATTCCCGAAGAACACTCTTCAGACAAAGATTAGACTGGACTATAAAACATAAATAATACTCGTGAAGACTGTGCCTCTTAGTTCAAGCAGATACACGAGACCAAAGGGGCAGCTCCTGTCCAGATGCAGGATGAGAAGGCAGGAAGGGACAGGAGCTGGTTGAATGGACATGGGAAACCCGAGGTGGAAAGGGGGCGTGTGCTGTCACATTATAGGTTTGCAACTAGTGTCACATAACAATATGTGTATAAATTTTTCTATGAGAGATTAACTTGAGCTTTAAACTTTCACTTAAAGTACAATTAAAAAATAAAATAGACAACCCTGGAGAAAAATCAGATTTGGATTGAAGAAGAAGTTCAGTTCTTGGCACAGTGGGTTTGAGGGACCATTGGAGGCATCTGTATGGAGATATCCAGTAGCCATAAGATTTAGATATTTAGACTGGATATACAAATGTGAGAATTGTCTGATAATAAAATTAATTGAAGTAAAAAAAAAGTTTCGTAATATAGTATGTAAATTGTACTTATGGCAGTATGAGTCTCTAAAGCTTAGGATCTTTTAAAGTAACATGCTGCAATGTTTAAATGTCCAAAGTGTGAGCTGGTTGATGACTTCAAACAGAGCTTCAAAGCAGGCATTATCTTCAAAAAGTCACTGCAGACCAGGGCCTGGTCCTCAGCTTTCTAAACCCAGAAATCTAATTTTTATCGCACCATATTGTTTTAATCCATCTCTGAGATGCTGATGCGTGCTAACCAAAGACCTATTAAAAGAAGAAAAAACGTTGCCATCAAGTTGATTCCCACTCACAGTGACCCTACAGGACAGAGTAGAACTGCCCCCTAGAGTTTCCCAGGCTGTAATCTGTATGAAAGCAGACTGCCATATCTTTCTCCTGTACAGTGGCTGCCAACGTTTCAGTTAACGGCAGAGCGCTTAACCACTGTGCCACCGGGGCTCCTTAACCATCATTGTCATAGTCATAGAGCAAAGACAGAGTTGACTAAATGTACCCATTGTGTAAGGTATGTCTGTCCACATATCACTTCCACAGAGTTTTAAACTTATCTGTTATGTGTTGAGTTTCATGTCTCTTAATTTTGGAGGCTGATTCTGTTCCCAATCCAAAACAGAATTTTCATCATTAGATAAATAACAAATGTTTAAGATCTAGAGACTATATCTTGGTCAAATCAACTTCATATTTTCAAAACACACTGGACTTTAGATTAATGGACAAAATTAGACAAAACCCCTCCACTCTACACTCATGAGTTTATACAATCAGTTATGGTGTTAAATGGTGGAGAATAAGCTAAGGCAATGAGAACAGATATCAGAATAGCCTGTGTTTATAGACACAAACTGAGATGACTGCCTAATTCATGATAATTTCTTGTAGGCCATGACTGTACACTCATTCCTACCCAATTCAGGTAACAGACTATCCCATTTATCTCTCCCTTCAGCCACAAAAGTGAACACCTGACAAATAAGAACTGAACACAGCACTCACCATCTTAGTTACAATGACTGGCCAAGTGCTGGACGTGTGATCCTAGCAAAATTTCCCCGGAATTTTCCACACTGGAGCCAGTTAACATTGCCCCTATTTTCCTTGGCAGCAAGCTGTGGGGATGAAAGGTCAGAGGGACTGAAGGCCACACTGTTTGCTGCAAGGAGTTGCTGGTCTGAGAATGAAGGCGATATTGCGGAGCTAGAGAAGTTGTAGACAATATTTGAAGTCCTGGTTCCAGTTACCCCTGGTACCCGCTCTCCTTCCTGCTACTATGAGCCAACAAATTCTCCTTGTGGTTTAATCAACTCCACATTGGGTTTTTCTTGCTGTAAATCATCAGAGTCCTCACTTATAGAGCTAGTGAGAAAGTGGTAAAGCCCAACTAGGTAGACAAATAGTCATAGAGCAATAACATTTTTCCTAGTTGCCCAAAATTGAGCTAATTTCTTAAAATCCCAGAGCCTCATTTCATTATCTGCAAAATAGGGTTTACAGCTACTGTACTAGATCACTGAAAAAATTGTAAATAACCTAAACAACGTGCTTAGTATGGTGCCTGATCCACAGCACTTAATAAATGCTGAAATGTATTGTTTTGATGATGAGAATATAAAGCTGATGATGACAATTATCCTAAGATATAGATGTCAAAATATTATGTGATTTTTTCCATTATAAGCCTGCCTGATTAAACATTTATCAGTAAAGAAAGGTACAAGGACTCAAAAGAAAAAAAAATTAATAAAGTCAAAAATTATTATAAACAAAACGTATCTATGATCTTAAGAAGCAATGATTTTTGAGAGCTGAATTTACAATAAATAAGCAGAATGTGATTGAAAGTTAATTTGATGGTTAATAGAATAAACTCATTTTTAAGAATAGGTTTAACATGAAACTTAAATAAGATCTATAGAGTTATTCCTATTTCAGAAGCTATTCACTGAGAACGGATGTAGCAATACTTTTAGGTCAAACTCAAATGCCCCCACAATAATAAAGCCTCCCATGACATCACCAAACCCACGTACAATCACTACGCACCATATGTAAGCACGTAGTTTTCCTTTCATTATGCTCATCTCCCCTATTACATTATACAACTTCAGTAGCAAGGTCTCTCTCATGTTGGTACCCTAGAAATCTAGCCCAAGGACTTGGTAAAGAGTGGGTTCTCAGAATATAGTATTTAAAATTAAATTAAATTTAGAGTTGGAAGACATTCAACATTGCCTCTGCTACTTACTAAGTGCACTTACTCACTAGAGTAAGTCACTAACTTTTGAGTCAACCACTTAATACTTTGAAGTTGTTATCCTTCAAAGTTACCTACTCTAACCTCCCACCCAAGTACAAACATCTCATCTAAAATACTTTTATTATCTACACACACTGTGATAGGACCTTTGCAAAAATAATCTCCCATCACACTTCAAAAGTGCTCGTTATCAGAGTTATTAATATTTATATTGATCAATTCAATAAAGCAAGGCTTTAAAAGGCCCAATGTTATGGAGTCAGTAATGCCGACCCAGAATTCTATCTCGAAGAACATGTCCTTTCTATACACCACAACACTTGTGCTTAATAGTTCTTAGAGTGCTTTTTAAAAAGCTTATGACTATTAATCTACCCACTGTTATGACACACCTCACTGACAAACAAGTCAGATAAGATGATGTGAAACTGCTTTGTAAAGTAGGAAGTGCCTCAAAATATCAAGCAGTATTATCTTGCTGATGATGTTGATGAAGATGATGGTGGTGGCAACGATAATTAAAAAGAGACAATTATGTACTTTGTACACATGCTTTGTTGTTCTGATATTTACATGCTGTTAAATGAGTCACCGTGAATTGTAGCTACTTCCTGGGAATCGGGAGAAGGCCCTGAATTTTTACTCTTATTTTCTCTTCTACTTTTGAGTACAATTAAAATGGATGGATTTTCAGGGGTGGTTACTTACTATGTTGTTTTTACTTAGAAATTATGGCTATATATGTATACAGATATGTACCTTGGAAAAGGATGGTAGTTGACTTGAAGAAATTTCTGGTCTTACTTGAAAAAGTCTATGACACATTGGTGTGTAGGAAAATTGCATGTGGAATTGAGTCCGCTGGACCCTGGCTCCCTGGCTGTGTTGAAGGTTCCTCTCCTTTTCTCCTAATTGTTCTCTCATCTGAAATTGGACTCCAGTTAAAGCTTGTAACATATTTTTCTTCTTTTCTTCTCACTATTTAGTGGATTTGAAAAAAAGAAGAACCCTGCAAAACACATACAAAAAAATTATTTTATCACCTGAGATCACCTATTGTAAAATAAATCTAGTAAATGACAGAGGAAGCATCTGAAATAGAAAAACAAACTCATTCTTTAATGGCTATGGTTCACCCATAAAGATACAATTCTTAATGTTCAAGTTTAAAAAAAAAAAAGATGAGAAGAAACAGTTGGCATTCAGCTAACAATTGTGTTTGGAGATTTGTGCCTGACTTTGTTATTCTGAGCAAAGCCAGGTACCAGTCTCTTGGGATTATGTACAAAGGCAAGAAAAAAAGTGGACATGTATGAACCTCAAAGGTGACTGCTGGGTTAATAAAACAGTCTGTTTTCTGTTCACCCACTCTTGCTCTCAGTGTGCAAGTATATTAAAATATGTCAAAAGGAAGACCATTCGCTGCGCAAAAATAATTCAACTACAAGTCACCATTTCCAGCTGGTGGAGTGCCTTGGTGTATTTAAGTGCACTAACAAGTGACCCATACATCTCCCTGGATGAAAGTTGTATCCTCATTAAAGGAGAAACAAACACAAAATAGGAACAACTGTCAAATAGAGAAACAGACCACAATAGATAGCTCATTTTCCCCACTCAGTTTCTGACTTGAGCTATCACAGACTGAAGAGCAGCGCTGTCCTAGGAGTAACCTCTTAAAAGGCAATGAAAGTAAAACAACGAAGCTGCTAGAGGAATTGAACAGGTAGCTAATGGCCATATATATTATTGTTCAAAGTATGGGGAAAAACATCTTTTTCTTTTTAGTCACTGTAACATCTCACACCACGTAAGACATTGCAATAATGCGAAGTGGCTGGATTAAACAAACACACCCTGGGGAATTTAGAATTAATGCTCTAACTTGTATCTTTAAATAACCTCTCTTGGATAAACTCTGGTTTAAGCCTTTATAAGATATCATACCAACCTTTGCTTTCTGATTTTCCCCTACAGAACTGTATCATTGTTAGGAATCTGCAAAGGAAAAAAAAAAAAAAGAGGTTAATTTTGTTCAACAGCAATAACTCTTCTTACTTGAATAATGTTGCCTCATTATTATAAAGCAAAAATATAGCCTGAATTCTCAATGTGACATGTACTATCCTAGGCACAGCAAGGCATATAAAAGGAGTACGTGATATGATCCTGCCCTCAAAAAGTAGACAAATAAGTACCATATTTTTACACAAATAACACGCATTCTCTGTTTTGGTTTTGTTTTTGCCAACCATGGCAAGGTTATTTTTGTAAGCGTGCTATGCTAATTTTTTACGTGTTACAGCAACAAAGTATTCACCAGGGTGTGGGGGAGGGCAAGGTTGGCAAAAAATTATGGCAAAAAAGCATAGAATGTGTACATTATTTGCATAAAATACGGTACCTGGAATAATAAGGGAACAATATGAGAGAGAATATAACTAATTACAAAAGAGAGGTGGTAGCAATTATTTCAACACTGGGTAAATAATTTCAATAGTAGGTGCCCTCTTGTGTACAGTCAACACCCTGTGCTCAATTATTTTCATAGCAATCATCACATATTATTGCAATTACCTGCTTACTCTTTGTCCCTCCATACAGGAACGTAAGCTCCTCAGGGGCAAGATTTCTTATATGTTCTGTCTTATGTTGTTAGAGTCCCCATCTCATACAGCCTCTGGCACATAACAGGAATTCAACAAATATTGATTAGTTGATGGGTTAAGTGTTTAACTACGGATGTGTACTTGCCAGTTTTGAACTGCCAACCCTCCACTGGAAGATAGCAGGAGCCCTGGTAAGGGAAGGTACATCTAGGAAAAGGCCAACGTTTTCTGTGACAAATTGCAGTCCAAGAGCAATGGATATATGTATTAAAAAAGCAGAACTACTCAACTCTGAATTATGCCTTAAACTAGAACACATAGTAATGATTAATATATAGAGCAATCATTAAAATGAAATTGAAGCTCAGTATAGGAGTATAGGTAACAAGGGATCCACAAAGCAATCTAAATACATTAAACTATCCAGGCCCGACCAATAACAGGAGCTTGGAAACTGGAAAAATATTTGCGGAATCAAAGTTAATGATTAGAATAACTTATTTAAAAATGGGAAAAGATAGAATTTGGAAACCAAAAACTGGTGAGCTTGATATTTTTAGCCCCCATGAAGTTCTAAAGCAGATTATAAAACAAATAGTCTATGAGTCCATGAAAAAGAAAGTAGAATTCACTAGAAGATGGGGAAACTGGAGTAAAAAAAGTACTGTATGAAGACAAAAGTCCTGGGCTTTTCTTCTGAATGTGTGCCCCTGGTCACTTTAGTGTCTCCTTTTCCCCGTTTTATAAAATGAAATCAGTAATGTATCTTCCTAGGGTGATTGTCAGGAGATATCAGTAAATCTTAATTTCAGCAAAGCATTTCACAAAGATGCTTATAATGTGTTCATTGATAGACTGAATCTCTGTGAGCTCAGTTACTACTTAGGTTGAAGGTTGCTAAAATTGCTATTCCCAAAGAGAACTGATTAATAATTCAACAAGAACCTCTTCTTTCCCAAAATGTTCACTCATTGATTTATTAAAAATAGCTCTCAGTTCTCCTCTCACCCCATTTCTTTATTTTAGGACACTTTGGAGACAAGGGACACAAGTTTGGAAAACTGACTTGAAGTGATATTTCTAATGGTGAACACAGAGTCTTCTGTCTTCTGCTGTTCAGTATACTTAACAAGAAATAGAGAAAGACATAGAATGAGGGCTATTCAAATGTGGGCGAAAAACTAAGTTGGGAGAAATAACTAATTTGCTGAATGAAAAAAATCAGCATTAAAAATAAATTTTAGTTACTATTTTAATGATAATCTTTATTCTAATAACATCAATTTAGTGATCATAATTATCAATAAAATGTAATATTTTAAATTCATAATAGTATTTAATACATAGCAGATAATAAATTATTATGATTATTAATAGTGTGATAGGATGGAATGATGGGTCAAATACACTTAGTGGAAAACACAAAATATTTCATTTGGATTCAAAATGTAAATAAATGTAATCATTAATTCATATGGAATATATCCAGAAATTTCCATTTACCAAAGGCTCAATGTGTCCAAACAGAGATTTTTATGGCTCCTAAACAAGAACAAGAACAAAATCAAAGACAACACAAAACAAATACAACAAAGATGAGAATTTAGCATGAATTGATAGATGTATGTAAGCCTATGATAATTTGTGGAGAGAGGAGTAAAGGAGTCTGTTTTTCTAAAGGCAGAAATTCTCCTCTTCAAGTTGCATGACGGCCTGCTTGGTAGAGGAAAGAGGATGGAGTTTCAAAGGAGAAAGAGGGTATCTGTACACTCCCATCCCAAACTTCAGGAAGATTAAAGAGATGCCGATTCTTAAAGCATGCAATTCTGTGCCTTGAGAAGTGCAAGACACTTTTGCTGCTGCCTGGAAACAGTTAAGGCTTCACAAAAGCATCATCCAAGAAATGCAACAGCAATAAGAAATATTAGAGACTTCTTTAGTTAAGATATAAATGTGCAAAGAATAGCCACAGACATTTGAGGGGTCAGGAGAAAGGCACCATCTAGGAAGAGACATTGGAGCATCTCATGCTCAAAAAAATCCAAAGGAGACTCCAAAGTAATGGAGAAAGGAGAACATTTGACAGAGGATGGCAACCAAAACCAAACCAAACCCACTGCCATGAAGTCGAGTCCAACTCATAGCCACTCTGTAGGACAGAGTAGAACTACCTTATAGGGTTTCTAAGACTATAATCTTTATGGAAGCAGACTGCTACATCTTTCTACCTGCTGGAGCAGCTTGTGGGTTCAAACCACCAACCTTTCTGTTAGCTGCTGAGCACTTAAACACTGTGCCACAAGGGCATCCTGGGGAACACGACAGAGGCACCAAAAGAGAGACTGATTGCAGTGCAAGGTAGTGATACTCAAGAGAAGGGGGCAGAGTAGAACAGATCTAATGTTGTTAATATGGTTTTTTTGTTAATTAAATCTCCTTCTCAAGACTGTTAGGAATATCATATGCAAGTGGGAACCTTCTAGATGTAAGATATATTTTCCTACATGTTGACTGGGGACACAATGCTTATGAAAAACCTGTGACAGAAGCAACTCTGGCTCTTTACACCTGAGTTATTTTCAATGCAAGATTTCAGAAAAATTTCGGACACTCACGCTATTAGGTGTTTTTTGTTTTGTTTTGTTTTTTGTTTTTTTTATGGCTGCTGTAACAAATTGCCACAAATCTGGTGACTTAAAACACCACAATTTTATTCTCCTACAGATCTTGAGTACAGATGTATGAAATCAATTTCACTGAGGTAAAATCAAGGTGTACGCATGGCTGGTTCCTTCCCGAGACTCTAGGGGGAATCTGTTTCCCCACCTTTTTTAGTTTCTGGAGGTCACCCGTATTCCTTGGTTTCTGACTCCTTCCTTCTTTGAAAAGCATCACATGTGCTTCCCTTTAACTCTGACTCCTCCTACATCCTTCTTATAAACAACATAGGGATTATATCTGACCACCCAAATGATTCAGGATAATCTCCCCATCTCAAGATCTTTAACTTAATTATAAATGCAAAGTTCCTTTTGCCATATAAGGTAAAATTCACAGGTTCCAGGGATTAGGATGTGGACATATTTGTCAGACCACTATTTAGCCTACCACACCCGCTTTAAAAGAAACGTTCTAGGGTTGTGTACACTTTCTTCCTTTCTCTCTTTCTTTACACTTACATAGAGCTTTCTACAGGCCAAACACTTTTCTAAGTATTTTACAAATATTAACTCATTTAGTATTAAATATTAACTCATTAACTCACAAGAGTCCTATGAGGTAGGGGTCATACTAATTCTCCATTATACTGATGAGGAAACCAAGGCACAGAAAGGCTAAGTTACTTGC